ACCAGATATGAGAGAGCCAGTTGCAGTGGCCCCGGAAGCACCGCTGGGGCTGCTACCTCCTGTTGTGGCCGAAGCACTGCCAGTGGCTGTGGAAGTCGATAAACCAGAGTTGTGCCAGGTCGCAGTGCCATTGCCAGAACCAGAGGTAGCCGATGCGCTTGATGAAGCAGATGTGTAGCCTGCTGTGGAATTGCAGGCGAGGTTGTAAAGGGGTTTACCGTTGCTACTCACGCCGAACGATGGAGAGGCGCCCTCGTCAGCGAGGATATACCACCAGAAATCGATGCCACGGTTTTCGAGGGCACACGCAACCTGCTGCCAGTATTCTGCGGCGTCATCCGCGCCGGGGACAGCGAGATTAGAGGTGGGTCCAGACACTGGGTATCCAGTCTCGGTGATCCAGATCGGCTTCCCCTGGGCAACGGCTGCGACCTTGTCGTAGGCCTGGAAGAAAAGGAATCCACTATTGTCTATACTGTTGGCATCGGTTGTTTGGAAGTAGGGGTATTCATCGAGACCCAGGAAATCGCAGGAGTCGATGACTGGGTTATTGGTGGCATTGACATAGACATTCCAGGTGTCAACATGACCAACAGGCGCAGAGGCAAGAGAGGTGTCCTTGATGGTGTCGCGGACCTGACTGATGTAGTCGACCAGAACGTCAGGGGACTGACCGATGCCGCTGTTGGCGGCAATGCCAGTGGGGGAGATGCGGTAGAGGTCCTCGCTTCCCACCGAGATGCCAACGACAAGGTCTGCAAAATCCGAACCGTACTGGGAAATGGCTGATTTGAGAGCGTTGAGTTCGTTGTTGAAGGCCGTCTGGTCTACGGATGCCCACAGGCCCAACAGAAGGGTTGTCTTGGTATCAATGGCAGCCTGGAATGCAGAGCTTGGGGTGTCGGTTGTCCCTTCCTGAATCATTGTATACAATCTTGCACTGGTAAAGTCACTGGTGCCAGCCAGGGACGCGGCGGTCTTGAATTGGCTCAGAAACGAGTCGTAGGTTTGACCTTGAGAGGCATAGTTGTACCCCTTGACGGCGGCAAGGGCGGTGGACGCACCACCTAGAATAGCAAGGAGGGAGCTCTTCATGTTGGGAGCGTCTGTGAGGGCGTGTCAAATAAATACTGAGGAAAGAATGTCTTAGATACTATTTAAAAATGAATGACTGAAGTACACAAGCAAAGAACAATTGAGGATAATTCAAAGAATGAATATGAGTGCAGAAGAGGAAAATTCAGTCAAGGGATGAAAAGTGCTTTGGCCATGTTATTTACACATACTCCATTCACATATCCATACGACCGTCACATGTGGGGGATGCTCAGGGGGGCTGACTTAGTCTGAGACATGTGAGTGGTTCGGTTGGCCGGTACCTGCATCATGTGGCGCTGGTGGCGCGTCTATTGAGCTTCGCCACCGTTGGGTCCGTGTTTGAAAAGTCCGGGTATGCCGCGAGTGGCTAGTCTCCGCTGGGGACAACGGCACGTCAGGTAGGGATTGCACAAAGTATTACGTGGAGGGCTGTACATATGATATTGTGTACCCCATACCTCTACAAGTACTCCTTCGCTATGATTTACATATATCCACTTGTACGTAAAGGAGAGACAACAGTCTATTCCGGTTGTAGTAAAAAACGCCAAGACCTCAATCGATCAGCTAGGGGGATCACTGGGATATACAAGGACCTGGGGCAGGTGAAAGGACAGGAACCGAGAGCCTACGGTCGGTTCTGTAAAAGGCATCACTGTATACAATTGTATTACTCAGAGTCATTACGAACTAGAAGCCGTTGGTGAGTGATGAAATCGATCAAGAAGAACGCCACACATCTTCACTTCGTGGTTCCAACGCCGATTTAACAATCTTGATTATGGTTCGAGGGCAGATTATGTTAGGAAAGATGTCATGGCAACAAAGACGATTGATTGTGATAAGCCAGACGCGGGTCGTGTGGAGGCTGTCGTTAGATTTGGTGCAAAAAACCAAGAGACGTTGACTGGCAGCCTGAGCAGCTGGTTGGATCCGATCACCATTCTCATGACCCAGCCGAAGATATATGGAGATTCCTAAGTTCAGCTTGACCTGCGCATGGAGGGGCACTACAGAACCTGCCTGCATGATGGACTGATTTCGATGCGAATACTATTAATAGGCTTTTGGGACGCCATGGTGTGATATTGCAACTTCTTCGCAGCATAACTAAACGCGTACCACTTGGTGACAAGATTAAGCGAGAACCTTAGAAACAAATGGATGGGTATGCCTGTAGCGGGGTGCTGTGGCCTGGGATACCTGGAAAATCCGTCGCCTCGCATAGGACAGTTGGTAGACGAGAGCATAAGACATGGCGTTGTTGATGTACTGGTTGTGACCGCCAAGCCATTTGGCTAATCGGCTCAACGGGTGTTTGTTGATGCCCTTGACGCGTGTCTGCGCGTCCACCGGATCGTCCCACTTTGGTACCAATCTGTATCGACTGCGACCAGCTGCTTGAGTGCTGGTTCATGGTCGCCGTCGTCGCCGCCTATGCCTATTGTCCTCGCCAATAATCATTGAATATACGTTACCGCTACGATCCCTCGAGGTATCAATGACCTCCACCAAATACCATGGCCTCTTACAGCCGGCAAGATCGAGCGCTGATGCGGCAGCGAGGTGCTGGGTTCGTTACTTTCTGCTCAAACTACACAAAGCGAACTCGACGCTGACAATCCCAGATCGCGCGCTGTTTCGACTGCTGATTTTGGCATTAATTTTGGGTTGGGTGACAGTAGGCTGGAGCGTCAACAAATGCGACAGAGGGGCGCCGGGTATGATAGTCGTCCTCCACCTGGTCTACGCCTCTAACGTGCCTTGCTCAGGTCTCGCAAGATTGACAATGTCGACTTTGGTATTTCTTTTCCTACTCCGGCCCAGCGTACGCACACGAAGACACCACAGCCTCGAAGGTCGACTTCGCGCCAGCCATCAAATACACCGACCAGACATAGACAATCATCGACGTCCACAAGAACGACCAGACGATATTCAAGCAGACTGAACTCCGCTCAACCTTCAGCGCCTGCGCCTGAGCCGCAGTCACTAGAAATAAATGATGAACATGGAGAAACAAGCACTCGCTCTAGCAAAAAAAGGAAATTATCCCCAGCCGTTGTTACGCCGACTCCACAATCTCTACCAGAGATCGTTAAGCCGACGCCCACGAGACGAGCTTCAAAGAGGACAAGTTCCATCCGAACATTCACGATTGCAGAGGACAATGACGTCCAAGTGTCTCACTCCATAAGCCAGGCAGAGGCACACCCTCAGACATCCCCATTGTTCGTTCCACAGCCTAAGCACGAGAAGGAGAACAAGACGCCTAACACTAATACCCCGAAGCCAAACCGTGAGGATTCGGGCCTACAGACCACAAAAAGCGGACGAATTCTGCTTGCGCTGTCTGCTGAGGAGGAAGATATCGATGAATCTGCTTCTGAAGCCCTACTCGTAGAGGCTGATGACACGCGTCAACAATTACTGCATGATGATAAACCACTAGATTTGGACAAGCACGGCTCTTCCAAGCAGCAAAAGCGGAAAAAAAGAAGGTCCCTAACCTTAAAGCGCAAGAGACGTCGTTCGTCTACTCACAGTCAGGCTGTGGATGCATCGAAGGAGCAGTCGCCTGCTGTTACTTCTGAAACGCCGGATGAGGAAACTCCATTACCTAGGGCTAAGCTTCTGGCAGATCGGATTACCAAGTATAGCAAACTTGGGAGCAAAAGGAATATGAGAGCAGCAACTACAACCTCTGATCGCGAACAAACACCTGACAAAGGAGAGGAGGACGATGACTCGTACATTGAACAAAGCTCTCCTGAAGTCGAAATGCCTGCTGCAAGTACGAAAGGCAAGAGAAAGACTCGCCGACAGAGCTCCCGAGAAAGTCCAGCGGAAATCTCCAAAGGCGACAAAACCGTGACTACCTTTCCTATTCTCACGCACCGGCTGACTGGCTTCTCGATATTGCCGACTATCCACGAAGACGACGAAGCTCCAGTGGGGGATGCACTCCAGGCAAGCGATCGAGCTCAACCCAACGTGGTAGACGTGCTGGCCCAGATTTGTCGAGAAACAATTTCAAACGCGATTGACCGCATAGCTGAAGTTACGCAGTCCAATAAAAGGACATCGCTGAACAACAAGCGAAGCGCTCTCGAAGCCTTCGGAAAAGACCTTGATGATGAATTGTTTGCAATGTCTGAGGCCGTAGAGAATCGCTTCAACCTGGAAGGCCGTGTTCGGAAGTCTAAGCGGGAGAAAGCAGCTCTACGAGCAGAGTACATCGAGTTAAGGAGGGAGCGCGAACAGGTTGCCTTGAAATGTGACGCCCTCAGACGACGACATTGGCAGTGCGAAGAGTCTACAAGAGCAAAATGGACGCTCAGTGAAGCTGCCATGGGGGTGGAGCAGGAGATGGACAGAAACTCAGATGTCGAAGATGAAGGTATTGAGTTCCTCATCCGAGACGTTACAACATCGATCAGCAATGTCTCGGGACAAGGCATTTTGGACAGGGTCGTGTCGTTCAATGCTCAGTTGGAGAACATGGCATTGCTTTTGGAAAGAAGAAATGGTTGACGTTGATTCGATGCATCATGAGGTTAAATCTAAGACGACTGACGGTTCTGGGGCTATATTTTTGGTATATTGTGTATTGATGTGACTTTGGATGCTGTGGCTCATGCTCGGCAGGGCACTAAATGCGTATACAAAATCGTGACCGTGATTATGTATATTGAAATGATGGCGAGGACGTCAGTAGCCTATCACGTACATGTGGCTTGTCAAAGGAAGCTCGTCTCCCCAACGAGGTTGAGGTTGTTCCGATAGCGGAGAGCTGTGGGGGCTCAGCCTTGCGCTGGAGCTTCTCCAACGAGCAATTATTTTCTCCTCCACTTCGCGCAGTAATAGGGTCCTTCTTCACTCAAGCAAATCTCGCTATAGATATGGCAGGTCGAACCTTGCGGATAGGTATGGTCACTCACCAGGTATTCTACACCATCACGCTGACATGCGCGTCAACAAACAGGTCTCATCCCCGGTGACGGGATCGGGCGCGAAGTCATTCCGGTACGAGTCTTGAACCGTCTCCCAGCTTTCCCACAGCCATCGGCCATGTTAGTGTCCATGCCCTAATACTCGTGCTTTCAGGCCGGCAAACGCATTCTCGAGTCGCTCCCCTCGTCGCTGGGCCTGAAGTTCTCCTTTGTCGACCTCGATGCAGGCTTCGAGTGCTTCAAGCGCACTGGCACTGCGCTGCCAGACAAGACGGTAGAGACACTGCAGAAAGAATGTGACGGTGCATTGTTCGGGGCTGTGAGGTGAGCAATATCCCCTACAGCTTGACTATTTCTGTGAACGCCTAAGCTTCAGTCACAAACCAGACGACTGACCCATTGCGCTCTTCTTGCCAAACAGCTCCCCTACAACAAAAGTCCAAGGGTACACGTCTCCGATCGTGGCCTTGCGCAAGAAACTCTCCCTCTACGCCAACGTCCGCCCCTGTAAGACGACTCTCTCCCCGGCTTTCCAATCGCCCGTCCCGCACCCCATCGACATGGTCATCGTGCGCGAAAACACCGAGGACCTGTACGTGAAGGAAGAGAAGACCTACAGCGACGGGGAAGGCGGGGAGATCGCCGAAGCGATCAAACGGATATCGAGCAAGGCGAGCTGGCGGATCGCGAACATCGCGGGCGAGATCGCGCTGCGCCGGCAGCGGATGCGGGAACAACAACAGCAGGGTTCGTCGGCGCAGAAGCAAGGCATGGTCACCATCACGCACAAATCCAACGTCCTCTCCCAGACGGACGGGCTCTTCCGCTCCACGGCGCGCGAATGTCTCTCTCAGCCGCAGTTCTCCTCGCTGAAAATCGAGGAGCAGATCGTCGACAGCATGGTGTACAAGCTGTTCCTCCAACCGCAGTACTACGACGTCATCGTCGCGCCCAACCTGTACGGGGATCTCCTGAGCGACGGTGCCGCCGCGCTGGTCGGCTCGCTCGGCCTCGTGCCCAGCGCCAACGTCGGTGAAGGCATCATCATCGGCGAACCCTGCCACGGATCGGCCCCGGACATCGAGGGCAAGGGCATCGCCAACCCGATAGCGACCATCCGGAGCGTGGGCGTCATGCTGGAGTTCTTGGACCTGCCCGAAGCCGCGCAGCTGGTGTACAACGCCGTGGACGCGTCTTTGGGAGAGGGCAAATTCGTCTCTCCCGATCTCGGCGGCAAGGCGACAACGACCGAGGTCGTGGACGACATTATCAAGCGACTATAACTCCCTTGACCATCCCCCTTGGGAGAGATTCTGGTAGAAGTAAAATGGAAAAGATTTACGGCTCAAAGACCCGACGAGATTTGCGGGCGATATGAGAAACAATCCCCAGACATCCATGTTTGTTTTACAGCTTTGAGGGATGTTGGCGACACTCGACACCTGTCTGGATAAGGCAGCATAGGATCAAGTAGAAGACAAAAAGCGTCTCAAATGTCAAAGGTTTCAAAAAGCAGAGAGCTCGCATGATAATGGAACCCCAATTGTAGAAAGGCTCAGGTTCAAACGACAGAGGTGCATTTGAAGGTCGCTCTATGAAACCTCTTCTATATCGACCTGCTTTGCGGTCAAATCAAGTGCCATTGGACCACGATGTTCCATCGTCCAAGTCTGGTGCCTGCCAGCATTGGGCATCCGGTGGACGAAGTGATTCATAGAACTTGTAGAGCCCATACAGGCAGAAAGCAAAGAATGAACCAAGTAGGCCACATAACGAATGGATCAGGTTGCTGGCACCTCTTCATGAATTTGTGTGACATTAATACCTATACAATCCCCCGGGTCATAGTTCCCAGTCAACCTGTTCGCGGGGCATCAAATATTGAATTGCACATTCAAAGTCGCCCACCCCAGCCCATTCAATGTATGTTGCAACGCCTTCTGAGTGACTGTCGTCGACACCTTTCAGGAACTAGTCCTTTCGAGAACCAGTACTCTATTCGTATGCGTCAACGTACAAAAAGCCAATGATTCGATCCCCAATCTACTGCTTCTTTGTCGCGAGCTGTCCTTGCTCTTTGTCGAACGCGGCGTAGGTGACTTGCAAACTGGCCACGCCGGAAACGGCCACGTACAAGATCAATAACAGGAGGAGTCCGACCAGGTAGCCCATGAAGATGCCTACGCCGACATGTCAGCAGATGATGGAGCCAGGTATGAGCAGTAAGAAAAGAGACAACCTACCAGGAGTGAAAAATTGATACTTATCAAACAACGGCCCTTCAATCATGGTCTGGTTATTCCCAGCCGTGTTCGCCCCCGCATGCACTCCAAGATCTCGCCTCAGATCGAGATGCATACTCTCTTGTATTTGCGAGTCCATATCATATTCCGCGGCTTCTTTTCCATCCGCTTCTTGGGCAGTCAGCATCCCGTCCTGTGAGCGGCTGGTCGTGTACAGAACAGTGTAATTCTGAGTTGGCAGCAGGTCTAACACAGAGGCCAGGAATGCATCGTTCGAAGAGAGGTCACTAGCTCTGTTCGAGCCAGCAGATGGCGCTGGGAGGATAAGCTCGAGCAGCCGCGGTGATGGGGATAACTCCTTTGTCGGAATACCTCCTCCTTCTCTCGAAGCATCAATAGAAACCACCGAGACGCCGCATTTGGTTTTCAAGACATCGACCCATGTAGAGCTTTCAAGACGACCGAAAACGTCCGGAACAGTCAAGCTACTCCGGACAGCCGACCCTTGGGACTGGGAAGGCGATAACGCTTTTGCAAGTAAGGGTGTAGATCTCCTGGATTTGGAGTAGTCTTTAGCGGACACTCCCGGTTGCGAGACAAGAATGTAGTAGTCAGAAGGGCACGAGGAGAGGGTCAATGCGATGTCCGAGGTCAGTAGGGGTGCGGACTGAATGTGTGAGGTCGTCGCTAGAAGTCTATATGTACGGCGAACAATGATCAGTTTGATATGTGCCTAAACTTCAAGGATTGGTGTAAACATACTCGGAGGTTGAGAACATGAAGAAGGGCGTAGTATCGAGATAGCCATGGGCGCATTCAACGGCCAGCGCCAAAGCGCACTGCCGAAAGAGACGCATGGCTCTGGAATTGGCTGGGGGATTTGTCGGTGTTGAACAGTCAACGCAGGCAGGTCTGGGAAGCTTTGATATGATGCATCTGGGGTTCTCCCGCTTCATCGTATACCCCGATCGCATCTATGGATATAGCCAATAGAAGAGAGTCATATCTTGGCTGTTTTGTGATGTTTGCGCCGGACGATAAGGCTGAGACGGCCAGATAAATTTTCCTATCAAAGCTCAACTCCAAACTTTCGCTCTCATTTCAATCTGCATTACAACTTGATAACTCCTCAAAGCTGTCTGTTGATATTGGATCAGGCAAATATAATGATTCTGCTGACCCTTTCTGCCTCGGTACTAATCAACATCGTTACTGGGATTCTGTTTGTTTCTAGGTATGTAACGAACTCTGACTGCACCTTCCTACTCGAAAAGCATCAAACAAAAGCAATCGTATGATGATACAACTTCTAGCTGATTCAACTATTTTGGTCGAGACCAATTATGGGTCAATGCGAATACCTTTTTCTTTCCCCTTCTGAGATTCATTTCGTTTCCATCCATTGCGAGCACATGTGTTGGTGATTCAAGATTACTGACTCTTACAAATAGGGATAGTAGAAGTACAAGTGTCTGAAGAATCGGAAACCGTGTCGAGTCTGCGAGGACAACCTACATGCTGGTCCTTGCGTGTCTTTCCATAGCGATAATACCACCCTTGACATCTCCGATCCATCCCCACTTCTTTTTCCGCAGGGCTTCTTGCTCTGTTGCCGCATCAGCTTCGATTTTTTCTATCAGTTTCTGTGCTGCGATTTGGCTGTCGTTCCCGCGCTGGCAGACAAAGTATACCGATGAATACTGCTCTTCACCTACGCTGTCTTGTGCCTCTCTTGCTGGGCTTGGGGGTATTTGATCGGAGTGGCCACTCGGCTTCGTGGGGAAGCTGTCATGTCTCGTAATCATAGGGATATGCGATTCCTGATCGATCATACCTCCATCTGGTCCCATGGGAGGGGGCCTAACCCCCGGATTCACCCCAAGGACACCAAAGGCTTCGCTTCCGTGCCTCAGGATATGCGAGATTGGGATATTTAAGCTGCCCCGAACCTTTGGACCAAGCTCATATTCATGCTCTTCGCGAACGTCCACCACAATAGGCTTGCTTTGCTGCTTACCACTTCTGTCTGGCTGTGTTTCCTCCTCGACCTGCTTCCGGAGAAAGTCTCCAGCGTGAATCCTATTGTCCTCGTCGAGAAGTTTAACATCTTCGAAGACGCCACAAAACGCCTGGTAGTCGAGTCTGCCATGTGAGATCACCTCTGCCGAGACTTTCGTCACATTTTTGGTTGCTAGAGTCTGGTCATCGCCGCATGCGACACAATCCTTGCGGCGGCCTCGCAAACCGATCGTGCGGAACATACTTCGTGGGTCGGAGGCGTAGGTGTTGTACAGGAGCATTGTGTGTTGTTTCTTCTGCGTCGGCGTCTCGACGGAAGCTTTCGTGTCGTTCGCAAATTGATCTGCCCTGGTTTGACGTGGGATATGCCCGCCGCTCGTGATTATCTTGATCGCCTCTCCAGCCATCAAAGTCCCTATAACCCCAACCACAGGTCCAAGGATGCCTATTTCGCTACACCCTCGTACTGTTTCCGGGGCCGGTGGGCGAGGAAAAACACAGCGATAACACGGCCCCTTTTCGTCCCCCTCATAAGAAGTGGGTGGGTTATTGAGGACAATCAGCATGCCCTCGCCTCTCTGCGCGGCTCCACTAACCAGTACTTTTCCTGAGACCACACAGGCGTCAGAGATCAAATAGCGCGTTGCAGGATTATCGGTACAGTCGAGCACAAGGTCATATTGTGACACGATGTCCAGGATGTTGCTCGCGCTGGCCGACTCTTCATGGCAGACGTACACGATCTCCGGGTTCAGCTCTCGACATCTCGTGGCGGCGGATTGGACTTTACTTTGACCCAGGCGTGCAGCAGATTCCGTGTGGACAATTTGACGGTGGAGATTGCTGATTTCCACAGCGTCGCCGTCCATAAGGCCCAATGTACCGATTCCCGCCCCTGCAAGGTACAATGACGCGGGTGAACCGAGGCCGCCTAGTCCAATTATAAGGACTTTGGAGGCTAGCAGAGACTCTTGACCTCGGAGTCGAACTTGAGGGACTAGCATTTGGCGGTTATATCTTCCGGAAGCAAGAGGTGGCGCAGGGAGAAGAGCAGATAAAGACGAACGAGGTTCCACCTCCGACGTTGCAGAGCGGATTTGGTCTTCGTAACGTCCATCTTCTGATCGTGTTTCTGTGATGAGGACTCTGGGATTCGACATGTCTAAGTCCGATGACCCGGCAGCGTGGGCAATAAGTGGAGGCGGAGGAGGATCGGCCTTGGGCTGAGGTATAGACCTATCTATCCCTCAGTCAACAATCCGCGGAAACAAAAGAATACAACCAGACAAAATGAAACAAGAGTATTCATTGATCAAAGCTCTGGTCTGGTTCCTGGCCGCGTTAAAGCATCGGATCACCCGACACCTGGGCGACTGACTGACTTCCTTTAAAGGAATCTTCGTCTATCCCCAAGGTGGCTATATTCATACATAGGCCAATAGATCATACCACTCAACCCATCCATTTCTGTCGCTGGGTATCATATCATACTTGTAGGTCAACACCAAGACTTCTCCGGTCTTTCCGGACAAAGTTCTGCCACTTTCGGCAAAACAAACTCCCCGATTTCGCTGAGGAAAAACACATGCAGAAATAGTTGCGTCGGACTTACTCGTCTTCTGGTTCGATCAAATCCGGGAGATGCTCGGCCTTCTCTTTGCCTTCCAGGATGTTGTACACAGCGGTGAGTAGAGGAAAGTCCTTCTCTATTCCCTTGTACTTGAGGAATTTGTTTACTTCATGGGCTGTCAGAGCTCCCTGCAGCTTCTGGCCGTTGAGTTCTCTTTCTTGGATCTCCTCGATCGATTTGCCCTCTTGTATACTCATTTTGGCACACCGAAAGTTGCGGCCACCCGAACAGGAGGTGATCAAATCTGCAACGCCCGCCGACTCAACCGTAAAAGTGTCAGATTGAATGGTGTGAGGGAAGAATCTGTTTCCGAATTCTCTCATTTCCAGGAGGCCAATTCGCATTACTGCAGCCTTGGCATTGTCGCCCCAGCCCAAACCGTCAACCCAGCCAGCAGCAACCGCAACAACGTTCTTCAAAGCACCACCCAGTGATACCCCGGCCACATCAGAGACTACTCGCACGTGGAAGTATCGACGGTGAAACAGTTTCTTCAACGTATCGTGGTCGATGGAGTGATATTCGGCGGGAAGGGGTTTGAGCTGGACCTTCGATGGCTTGCCAGAGACATCCTTGTGTACCAGTTTTGTCAAGTCAACATGGCTCGAAGCTGGGCTAGGGCCTTGAGATGTGGCGGGCGTAGGTGATTGCGAGTCCATCAATGGTGGATCGTATGCCACTGTAGTTTCACTAAACTTCTCTTGAGCCACTTCACTGGCGATATTTGCTCCAGACAAGGCACCACAGTATATTCCCAATTCCTCCCCAATAGTCTCGGAAAACAAGCTGATGGAGGACTCGTGAACATTGACACCTTTGATGCACGAGATGCCTCGAGCGAACGGGAGGATATGGCCACGGAGTTGCTTGCATAGATTGAGAATAAATTGGTGGGGAAGATTGAAAATCAGAATGGTAGAGTTCTTGACCGAGTCGACCAGGCTAGGATTGGCGACGACATTGGGAGGCAAAGGAATCCCAGGAAGGTATTTAACATTCTCGTGGAAGGCGTTGATGAGAGTCGAGAGTTTCTGTTTTCCTTTACTGAACTCAGAGGCCTCGTCGTAGTGTTTTGATTTCTTGTCCAATTCAACCTCCTCTTCATAAACCCACATCTGCACCTCCCGTTCGAATAGCTCCGGGTGTTCCAGTGTGTTTTCACCGACAAGTTTGGCGATAGTCGATCCCCTATGTGCGTCAGTAAAGTTCCCACAAGTAAGAGCACGGTCATTACCAATTTCCGGAACCGATCACAGTGACCTTGTGCTTCTTCGCATAAGGAGTTAGACTGGACATCTTCACCCGAAGCCCGTCCATTGTGACGGAGTTGGTGCTTCTAGGAACAACTGAGAGTTGATGCGAGGAAGCAAGCAGTCTAGGAAAACGAAGAAATAAAGGCGATCGAAAGGGCAACAGCATCCAGTGCTGAATGATCGTGACCAACGGGTCTTCAAAAACAGTTCCCGCTGCGAATTTTGGTGAGTGGTGGGCTGGATGCAAAAGGATTTTGGACAAAAATGTTGGTCAACTCAACATCTCGCGTGACGCAGGAACATGTCATAATGGGAAAGGCTCATTGAAGTTATGAGTCCAGCTGATCTTTTCCTGCCCGCTAGTGGGGGAAGAGGAGAAAGCTCCACCAGGCCAACGATTTCTTTTCCAGGGTCGTGGGTGCCTAGTTCAATGCCTAGAAATGAAGGAGTTCGGCTCTAAGGGTCCAGAATGGGCACTTACGGCAGCACCGAAGGTCCCCCACACCACCGCACCACCCGCGCTTTCTTATCGATAAGGGGAAAACACTGGCGACGCCTGCGCTAAAGGCACAACGAGAACTATTCGGACCCAATGCAAGTTTCACACTATTGTCATCATGCAGTAAACCCTGACAATATACGCCTGCCCTTTGCCCGTGGGAGCTGTAGGAGACTTTAGGACGAAGTCTGATTCGACCGTTCACGAGAGCTGATTGCTAACTGCGATAGGAGACAGGAACTGCGTGCCCGCCGAGTGGAAGATGAAACTCACCGCGCAAACACAGGGGGACACCTCTCGCCTATTGATTATCTGCGACTGGCGAGGACTCTGAGAGCGGTTAGGCATCCGACTGAGACGTGGAACAATGGCAGCGCAAGTGGAATACGAATTAATCTGGATAGTTGCACGATCTTCCAGGAGCCTCTGCTTCGATCCAAACCCGGAGTTTGTCCAGGATGCTTTGCTTCTGGTAATTGAGTCTGTCATTCTCAATTGCCGTGATCGTCGACATTGATCCCTAAAGGAAAGACGAGCAATCGTCGGCTAATGGCTCGACCAGTCGCTAGACATCCCCTCTATCTACCGCTCCTCGAAGGCGAGGTGGTTAGGCTGATAGATCTTCAACCAGGAGTGGGGGACGATCCTGTCTCGCTTCGACTTCTGATCGCCGAGTTAGGTCATCATCCTGACTACGAGGCTGTCTCTTATGTTTGGGGCGACCCTACTCAAACAATTTCAGTCCTTTGCAATGGGAGACCTCACGCTATCACTATCAGCCTCAATGCAGTCTTCAAGAGAGTTCGATTCGCAGACAGATCTCGAATCCTGTGGGCCGACGCTGTAAGCATCAACCAATGGCATGATGAAGAACGAAGCCATCAAGTTGCTTTCATGGGTAAAGTGTACAGCTGTGCGAAAAGAGTGCTTGTGCATTTCGGGGACGATCTGTACGGCGATGCAAGAAACGTTTCTTCTCTTGTGATGGAGTATGCTGCGATGATCTCGAAATACAAGTCCGTGCATGACATGCCCATTCTGTTGGCAGAGGATCCTGCGCTTGATGATCCGAGATGGAAAACTCTATCAAGATTTCATCACTTGCCATGGTGGAGTAGAGCATGGGTTATTCAAGAAGTCGGATTGGCGCGAGAATCGGTCTGTCTATACGGGAATGAGGAGTTTGATTACCGCGATTTAATGAGACTCGCCGTATGGACGACAAGATGTGCACCACATCTTGAATTCAGATATAATGTTTCTTTCGCGACCGTCCATACAGACTGGGTGGATTGGTCGCCCAAATGGCGAGAAACCTCTCCGGATCCTAGCCAGACTTTCCTAGGTTTGATGAACCATTCGCGGTGGCTGTCGTGCCAGTGGAAGAAGGACCACATTTACGCCCTTCTAGGCCATCCACTGGCTCATGTTGAATCTGACGAGAAGCTGATTGTCCAACCAGCCTACAACAAAACCGATGAGGCCGTCTATCTTGAGCTCGGAAAGATGCTGATAAGAAGCCATGGCCTTCGTGTCCTGTCTCCAGTGGACCATAGCGAGGAAACCTGGAGCAGCCTTGTGGTTCCTTCTTGGCTTCCCTTCTATCACAACGTGGAGCTTACAGCATGCAATTTCGGAGTCTTCCCAGATTTCTGGTACAATGCTTCTGGGCGATCTGAAAGTCAGCTCGTGATAAACGCGGACGACTTGCATGTTAAAGGCATGCTCGTTGACGTTGTGAGACGTTCATATCGATTCACCGAACGGGATTTAGAGGATCTTGGAAGATTGTCAATGGAGAGGCATGCTGTTGGACATCAGTACGGACTGCTGGATGATATCATGGCTGAAGCCCTTGGTGAGGTGAATGGCCAAGCTTACAATGCGGACGACAAAGTTACGGCCCTCAGCTTGACACTTTGTGCTGGGTTGTCGAGATACCGAAGCGCCAATGATGACGTTGACCAGCACTGCAAAGACTTTGCCGCCTTCTACAGGCTTTGGAAGGGGCTGCAAGACCAGGACGACTTCCCTCGGTGGATGCCACGGGATCACGCCGATGGAGACTATGAGAAATATGCGACCGACATAAAGCTGGTATGCGAAGGTAGAAGCTTCATGTTCACCGAAAAGGGCCGTTTCGGTCTGGGACCACTGATCACGTCTCCCGGAGACATCTGCTGCGTCCTTTTTGGCGGTACGGTGCCTTTCGTCCTACGGCGGACACAGCGCGAGGGGTATTTCAAACTTGTAGGCGAGGCCTATTTGCATGGTGTTATGCGCGGAGAGTCACTCCACCTAAGTACAGCCAAGTGCCGTGAAGAGCAGACATTCATCATCTGCTAGACTCCAAGGTGTCAAGTTTTGACCTACTTTGTCGATCGTCACAGCATTACCGGAATTTACCATTTAATGCGCCGGTGAGGTATAGATCCCTCGAGAGACTGAGCAGGTACTTGGCTCTGGTGAGAAACTAGACGAGGCTGGAGCTGAGGAGTTGAAAAAGGGGCTGCCAAGGCTCGACACATTGCTTGCTAGGGAACAAGTAATTACAACTGATGATGGCACATTGTGTCTAGAGTGAAGACTAGATGCCAGCCAGGCCAAGATGAAATATCAGCCGAATGTCGGAAACCTCCCAAATCCCCTCGCTGTTCTGGTCACGCATTTCCACGGCGCAACTCCGAAAGTAAGGTACGGTCACAAAATGGCAAATCAATTCTTTTCACTCGCAGCGCATTGGGGTGCTCTGCAGGTGGCCGTGTGAACCTCTTCGTTGAACATCCAATAGTCCTTAAGAGCATACGAAGCCAGGGTCATAGCATCGCTTTCGGCATGTACTTCATCGCCTGTCTTACACCAAGATCACCCAGGATCTCCTCCGTCCCTCCAAGAATGGCATCGAACTTGTACGTCCGATGAAACATTTCGATATTCCTTCCCATGCCGGTGGATGTGATGCCACGCCCTCCGAAGACATTGACGGCCTCGTCGGCGATCTCATGAGCGGCACGGGTGGCAAACATCTTGAAGAGCCCGATGGGGCCAGCCAAATGTCGATTTTGTTCTTCCTGGGACATATTACACATTTGGTAGGTGATATTCTCGAGGTAGTTTTGGATGGCCTCTGCGTAAGCGATCATTTTGGCCAGTCTGAGAGGCAAATCGCATATTAGCAGGAGTGGAAAGCAAGAAGAGGGAGAGCACGCATACTTTTGTCTGATCACCGGCTCCTCGATCAACTTCTTCCCAAACACCCTCCGCTGGTTTGCCCACTTTATACAATCCTCTACGATTATCCGGCTTGTTCGAATGCTGAATGTCGTGATCATCCACCGTTCATGGTTGAAGTTTGTCATCATCACCCTGAATCCCTGGTCTTCGACGCCGAGGAGGTTCTCAACGGGCACTTTGACATTGTCCAACTTGATAAATGCTGTCCCGGCGGATGAGGAATAGCTTGTCTTGATCTGGGTGGTCTCAAGACCCTCCTGTCTTTCGATAAGCAGCACAGAGAACCCCTTTTCGGTCTTGACGCCGGTGACGAAATAGTCACAGAAGACGCCGTTGGTGATCCATTTCTTGGTACCTGATCCCAGGTGTCAGAGGAAACATGCAAACAACAGACGTTGGCTTACCGTTGACGATGTAGTGTGTACCGTCAGGGCTCTTGACAGCAGTGGTCTTTATACCAGCCACGTCTGACCCAGCAAACGCCTCAGATATGGCCAGACAGATCTTCTTGTTGCCTGACAAGCACTCTTCAGCAACTCGCTTTCGAATATTGGGTTTTGCATGATACAATACAGCCGGCAGGCTGATGACCATGCCACCCAAGTTACCATCGTTGAAAGCCCGACCCCCAGTTCGACAGAGCTCGTGATTGATCACCATCTCGTGGAAATAGTCGAATTCCTCTGGCGTCACTGCTCCATTCATCAAAGTCAAACCCTTGAGATGAGGCCCGGGCCCCATGCGCATAGCGTTGATTCCAAGGCGTCTGAGCAACATCACGATTAGATCTTGGTAGAAACTAGGGACATATGCGACACATACCCCATCTCCACGATGGTAGCGTCGGATATCCTGGCTCCGCTGCTCTCCTTTTCTTGCGCCTCAGGGGCCAGGACTGTCTCAACCCATACTCGCATAGCCCGCTGCAGCCGCCGATGGCTCTCCTTGAAATAGGAACTCTTGAATTGTGGTGACAGCCAGGTCGGTTCTCCATAAGGCACCAGGCTGAGATCCCCGGGCTGGGGATATATGACCTGTGGCGTCTCGCCCTTCACCGTGCCTATGCATAGTGACTTCTCATATTTCTGGAGGACTTCTAGCCTGTGCAGATTGAAGAAGTCGACGGTGGCATCAAGCCCTCCAACTTGCTGGAACACAGTCGAGCCACCAGGATGTGCGTCGGCAAAGTCGGTCAAGTCATAGACCTTGGAGTCGATGATACACCACAAGCTGTCGGTGGTGTTGTTCTGCGCCACCTCCTCCCTGGAGATTTCGAGGCTCATGGTGGAAGATTGACCCCGTGTGGCAACCTCTCGACCAAGGCTCGGGTGTTTTCAGAAGCTGAAATGCTTGGGCTCTAACAAAATTCAGGTCTGGCCGGTGGCTTACATAGGGGATCCGCCTCGGCAGATGCTAGGATCTGGGTTTATATATTAGTGATACACTTGTCGCAGAAGAGGTTTAGTTCTCAGACACCAATCTCACCTCTCCCTGTGTCTCATTTAATAATCAGGTACCCACGGACAACCCTCGACACATTGCCCCAATCTGGACACCATGCTTGACGGGGCTTTTGATGGTCTTACGCACGAACGCTTACTGCCGTAGTATCACATGTTTTTGACGGCAGCGCCGCAGATGTTTGTTGAGTACGATGTACCTCGGACAAGGTCAAAATGCACCAGATTGACCCGCTGGTTGATTACAATATATGGGCTATGGTTGTGAGTTTGGGACAGATTGCCAGTGGAGGGCGGAGAGAACTGTGTGGTCTATTCCCACACACTCTCCAGAAACTCATCGGACTCTTCTGCCTCTAGACTGAAATCATGGCTTTCAACACACCCCTGACGCGTAAGTTGGGTATCAGGGTTCCCGTGGTCCAAGGTGGTCTTCAATGGGTAGCATACGCAGAGCTCGCCGCCGCTGTCAGTAATGCCGGCGGACTTGGGATCATCAACGCCTTGACGCAGCCTGACCCAGAGCACCTTCGACAGGAGATCAGAAAGACGCGGTCGTTGACGCCGAACCCTTTTGGCGTCAACATCACTTTATTGCCCGCGCTCAATCCTCCCGACTATCCAGCATTCACCCAGGCAATCATCGATGAGGGTGTCAAGATTGTCGAGACGGCCGGCAACAGCCCAGGCCCCGTCATAAAGAAGTTGAAGGAGGCTGGTATCATCGTGATCCACAAAGCCACGACAATCAGACACGCCAAAGCGGCCATCCGACTTGGTGTGGACATCTTGTCTATTGACGGTTTCGAATGCGCCGGCCACGTCGGAGAATCTGACATCGCGTCCCTGATCTTGAACAGTCGCGCTCGCCAGGAACTTGGAGACACGCCGTTCATCGCGTCCGGCGGGTTTGCAGATGGTTACGGCCTGATGGCAGCTCTCAGTCTGGGCGCCGCGGGCATCAACATGGGCACTCGATTCATGTGCACGGTTGAGGCACCTATCCACCTGAACGTCAAGCAAGCAATTGTGAAAAGCGATGAACACCAGACGACGCTCATTCTGAGGCGGTGGAAGAACACTAGCCGCATGTATAGCAACCAAATGACGGCCAAGACGATTGAAATCGAGTCCACGAGCAAGACTGGAGAGTTCGCTGAAGTCGCTCCAGTGGTGAGCGGTGCCCGAGGGCGAGAGGTGCTTACTGGTGGTGACATTCAACACGGGGTATGTCTTCACTGCTCCTCGCAACCTTGAGAGGAAATTGTTGCTAACTTGTTGTAGGTGTGGTACGCTGGGCAAGTGATGGGCTTGATCCACGACATTCCCACGTGTGCCGAACTCATTACACGTATTGAACGAGAGGCTGAGGAGGTCTTATCCAACCTTTCGAGGTCGATCCCAAGTCGGCAACAACCTTCCAGGAGCAAGTTATAGTCTGGTCGAGGGGAACCGCGTGATAGACACTGTTCTATAGAAAGGGAAGAGAGCGAGCAATCACCAATCACCAGTTAGACACATCGTTCACAGCATCATACACTAGCATACTGAATAGATTCTTGTCTTGGTAGATCTCCATACTCTCAATGCCTCCACCCCAGCTCTCGTGCTCCATGGTAGAGTCTCACACGAAGCCCAACCTAGTAGCAAAGTAGTCCTACGTACGAAGCACGACAAAATTGATATTTGCTGCTTACTACCCTGATGATAAAATCAGCATGTATACCGATTCGAGGCATCCATATGCATCTTCTCAGAACTATATCATGTGTATGGCCCCCACGGATGGCCACGGTGTTTGTTTGAAGGCCGAGGCTCGTGATTACTTATTCCTTGCCCCAACCTCGACCTCGACCTCGACACCACCAAATCCTTTGGATTGATGACATTTCAACGACATGTTTCTTCCTTAAAATATGCCTTTGTACTTGATCACTTGAAATCAACTTCCTTCTAATCCGGTTCACCCCCACACTTCGGGTTTTGCCATTGACCTTGACACAAAGTCAGTCTCAGCTCCGGGAAAAAGAAAACAAAAGATTGTCACCTCTATCTATCATTCCAGCACAGCAGTAATACTTCTCCAGCAACCCATCACTTCACACCATGTCCCTGAACGCGCAAAAGAAACCCGTCATCGCCGTGGTGGGCGCTGGCCCAGGCATCGGCGAAGCAGTGGCTCGCCGCTTCGTCGCTGAAGGCTTCTGCGTGGCGCTACTCGCACGCACTGAGGACAAGCTACAGAAAATGGCGCAGGGCATCGACGCGGACCACGGCAAGGGATTGGCGCGTTACTACATCACGGACCTGCGACAGGAGTCCTCGGTGCTGTCGAGCTTCCAGCGGATCCGCGACGAGCTGGGCCCCGTGGCGGTGCTGGTCTACAACGCCGGGGCGCGACGGGTCAACGGGCGCAGCATCCTCGACACGTCGTCGGAGGAATTCGAAAACTTCACCAAGATCAACCTGTTCGGGGCCTTCTGGGCGACCAAGTGCGTGCTCCCGGACATGCTCGCCGCGGGCAGAGGCACGATCCTGTTTACGGGGGCCACGGGGGCCCTGCGCGGCAACCCGGGCCTCGCCAGCTTCTCGCCGGGCAAGTTCGGGCTACGGTCGCTGTGCCAGATCATCACGCGCGAGTACCAGGCGCAGGGGATCCACGCCGCGCACATTATCGTCGACAGCCCCGTCGACGGCAAACTGATCGGCGAGTGGTCGCGGCGCCAGTGGCAGCGCACGGGCCAGGGCGAGAAGCTCGACGACGTCGACGGCCACCTGGTCAAGCCGGCCGATCTGGCCCAGACGTACTGGTTCCTGCACACGCAGCCGCGGAGTGCCTGGACCCACGAGCTGGACGCCCGGCCACAGAAGGAGAATATGTTTTCGAAGCTGTGAGGGTAGAGTTACGTGGGAAGAATTGAAAAAAAAATTGTGTCAAAATATCGCCATCATTTCGGACCTTTTCTTCTTTTTTTCCTAGCATACGGCGTTCTCGGTATGGAAATCGACAATGGACTCCAAAGGATTTTGTTATTGCTCTCAGTGTAATTTCATGACCAGAGGCAAATCAAAGCTTGGTCCATGATACCTTGGCTAGGTCGTGTCATGCTTCTATAGTTGGTGACAGGCAGGCAGGAAGAGAAAAACCATGGACTGTCCATACGAGGTACATACATAACTACATCCAATCAATGTATGACGGACTTGATTCCTGTTTGCCTAGTCACAATACTTCTGCTCCACATTATGGTGTTCTGGTAATGACCTGACTTACCTCCATACAACTTGCCTGCAATACAATACATAACTCTATCACTTTGCTATGCAGGTTATGGCTAGGCCCAGGCCATCGTCTCCTGGTTTGCCTGCTCGGCCAAAGCCAACCGCCATTGCTGTCGCATGTCGTCTCGAGAGGATTAGAAAAGCTCTGCGTGCGTATCAGAAGAGCCGAGCTTCGAGAGCACACCACAATAAAGGAAAGAAGGAGACTTCAGAGAGGGATCGAGAAGGCTGACTGTCTGTGGTTGTATGTATGTGTCGACATTTGTTGATTAGTCGTGCCAGTCGTGGCGACTCTCCGCGGAGCCTCGGCTTTCCCCATGGTCTCTTCTATCAATTCCTCCAGGATCCAACCTCCCTTTACCTACTCTCTGACAGAATCTGACAACCTTCTCTGCTCCTTAAATCAAACCCTTCTGGCTCTGCCGAGTGGCATGGATTGATCAGAAATCATCGATCATTATCACGATATTGTCGCGACAAAGGACAAGCCTCGAGACTGCGGTAGCGAACCAATCACCCGCGCGGCGTTTCTAGTGTCATTCCTATCCGTTCATTGGACACCACTGTCCCCCTACGTATCACATTAGAATACTTCTTGCGGGGAGGAACAGCGTGGAAAGATGGGTCCCGAAGGAGGAAAGCTGACCATCTATGTGGATTGTGGTATGTCTGACACCGGACCAACTCGCCATTTTGTCCAGAGCTCACCCGTTGTCGCCAGTATCTCCTTACTCGTGGTTCGGCTTCACCAATGCGATCCGCTACCGGCCTCTCCTGAATGCATACGGGGTTTCTGTCGACATAATCCCTTTCTTCCTGGGTGCCGCTCGTGATGGCGCGGGCAACCCTTTCAGCCCAACCCCGAAAGCCAAGGAGGCCTTTGCAAAGCAAGACTCGGAATTGACTGGGGAGCTGCTCGGCCTCAAGGTCGTCCGCCCCAAGGAATTCCCCATCCTCTCTCTATTTGTAAGTTCTACCCACCCTCCAAAAAGGGATTGCAACCACCCCTTAACCGCGTGAGTGAGTAGGCAGTCCGTGTGGCGACATGGGTCAAAGACCACTACCCACCGGAGAAGTTCGAAGCCACATTTCCCGCCTTCAGCACCGCGTACTGGAGCAAGGGCATCAACATCTCGAAACCCGAAGGGATCGTCAAAGCGTTGGAAGGTATCTTCCCCGAAGAGGAGATCCGGGAGATCATGAAGAAGGCCGTGTCTCCGGAGAACAAGCAACGGGTCATCGACCTGACCATGGGGGCCGGGGCGTTTGGGGCCCCCTGGATTGTCGCCGTCAACTCGCAGGGCCAGCGGAGGGACTGGTTCGGAAACGATCGGTGGGACCAGGTGTTTTACCATCTCGCCGTGCCGTTCAAACCCGTGAGCATCATTCCGCCCGAGGAAGCCAAGGCGCGGTTGTGAATAATACGAGATCGCCTTGCCCAAAGAGATATAGATCTCTACAAAATCCACCGGTTCGCCACTGAGTGTTGTACATTCTTATGGCTCTGGAACAATGAGAATGGGTCACCAGGTTTAGATCTCGCAGTCTTTGTTCAGTTTTACATTCGTAAACATATTTGAGGACTCCTTCGCCATATGCAGTGATATACCATCTCCCGTATAGTGTCTACAAGTATAAGATATACAATATACGACATCCAATATTACAGAGTTACCTCAGCGAGCAGGTATACCTCGTATCTAGACAAGCCTTGGGGCGAAGCTTCTCCCACCAATTACTACTCGGGACATTACCACCAACCCAACCTAACCTCGTTTCCAAGCTCTCCGACTCCCTCGTGGCATCTGAGATGAGAATCAATGTCCAGGTTCAGGCCGACCAAGCTGGCCTGAGAAACTCGGATACCAGGAGAACCTAACTTCCCAGGTCAGGGATATGTATCGTGGTGTACAGTACCATCAATCTACGAGGTACAGAGCACCCAATCGCCATGTCCCCCAGCCACCCTTCACTCCCTTCTTCAGATATCTATCACAACCAAAAGCATCACGCTCGAGCCATGCCGCAAGTCCCCAGCAGGTAACTGGATGGACCTATGGACTCTACTCTACTCTACTCTACCCTACCTACCTCTGATCTCGAGTGCACTCTTCTCTCGCATCCCACCTCCACGGACACCCTCGGATCCTGATTGGATGCTGACTCAGGATTCCCACCTCGTTATGATATCCCTACCCACCTAGCTGATTTCCGCATCCGGCTCCACCACCACCATCGTCACCACCACGATGCACGCACCCACGCACCCACGCACCCACCCGTTTATGTTATTATTTTCCATTCTTGAGATCAAAAACATTCATTAATTGTAATTTCGCATATTTCTCCCACAATTCAGAGGTAACCCCTCTCACAGCGTCTCTGGTAGTTTAGTGGTAGAATACCGGCTTGTCACGCCGGTGGCCGAGGTTGTAAGTACTGTCGAAATCCCCTGACAAAAAAGAAATATGGGAGAGAACGGGTCACTAATTTACGCAATATAGCAATTCCTCGCCAGAGAGAGTCATGTTTTCCTTTTTTGCTGGGTCTCTGACCTGCTCATGGTCATAGGGTTCGAATTCGCAAATCACCCATGGCCATGGCCTTGCAATGGCTTTTAGTCCTTTCTCTGTTTTTGGGGCTGGGGTCTTATCAAGGGTTCCTGGTTTCTTTGTGAGCATCCGACTTGTGCGCGTAGGGCCTGATCTCATAAGCGTGCCATGTCTCGTTCCCCTTCCCTATTCGTGTCGACTTGAGCCGGGCGAGCCTACCACCCGCTCACTTCGTCCTCGCCCTCCAGAGTCTGCTGCTGTAGTCGTCTTGCAACTCGCTCCACAGCCTTCCATACTCTAATGAGGTTTGCCCCGGCCACCTTCGCGGCATCTTCATCGCTGACACCCAACCGCAGTAGCTCTGCAATCAGATCAGGATACTTATCAACCCCTTCCAACCCTCTCGGAGTCAGCTCGCCCATCCCGTCAAAATCACTGCCCAACCCGACATAATCATATCCAATCTTCTCGCCCACATACATGACATGTCTCGCCACTTGATGCAAGGTATTGTTCTGCTCGTAAAACTCGGGCAACACGCTCTCGTTTGCTGGTGGCAAGCATGAGATGAACCCGGGACTGAAATTGATCATCACCAGAGATTGGGTCTCCTTGACCAGGTCCAGAATGTCGTCGTGAACATTCCGAGGGTGTGGACACAGCGCGAAAGCTGAGGAGTGAGAGTATATGACGGGCGCTGCGGAACTTTGGTTGCTCAACACAGCCTTCTGCGTCCAGTATGAAGTGTGCGAGATGTCGACAAGCATCCCAAGACGGTTCATCTCGCGGACCACGTCGCGGCCGGCCGAGGTCAATCCTCCACGATGGTAACGTGCCACTGTCGTGCCGTTTCGCGATGAAATCAACGCAGCATCCGCAAATGCATTGTGACAATTCCAGGTGAGCGTCGCCGCTCGCACGCCCAGCGCGTAGTACAACCGTAACGTGGACAACGGGGCAGATTGCGGGATCTGGTGCAGGCCCTCGATACTAATTGGAGATATCAACCGTCTCGTGCTGTGGAAATTCGACAATGCCACATCCAGTGGCGAAGTCGCCGACGTGAAATTGCCGGTATATTCTCCCTGCAATCGACGGATCAAGTCGATCTGGGATAATGTGTGCGCTACGGCACTGGAATACTGCTCGTCTGAGAAATCCTCGCTGGCATTCTCCGGACACACGACAAAGGCGCTCCAAAATGCACCGCCCACTCGTCCTTTCCGCAGCCGTGGCAGGTCGACGTTCAACTCCATGTCTCCATTCTCAAACTTGTCCCGGAAGTCCTTGGTGTGTAATTTGTTTTTGTAGGCCCCGCGGATGAAGATCGCGAGGTCATTGTGGCCGTCAATCAAGGGTGTGTGGGTGAGGATGGCCAGCGCACGTTCCTCGATCGTTTGGTCGGGTTTTGGCACAGGCACGGGTCTTGGAGTCGGGATGGGCCACCGGTCACCAGTATCGGGATTCAGGAAGGCTATGACGAGGGCGAAGAAGACCACGACGCAGAAAATCGAGGCAATCTTGTTCAGTGCCGCTTTGGTGGATTCGACCGACAGTGACTGCGCTTCATCATCTTCCTCGCTTTCACCCAAATAATCTCTGTACGCCTCGTTGGGTTGGTACTCTTCATTCCATTGTCTTAGAGACGACTTGTGTTCATCCTCGAGTTGTATGCCCTCATATCCCCTGTACTTGGAAAAGCCGTAGCCTTGGATCTCCGGCGCCGGTTCGTTCTGGGGCAGCAGAGGGTCAAGCTCGGACTTGGACATCGCCACGAACAGCGAGAAGAACTCGCCCTATGCAAAGTGTAGAGGAGAGGAAGTAATCTGCAAAACTTGTCCTTTCATCTACATCGCTGGATACCAGAGACTGAGGTCACCCCCGACATCCCATGATAGAGAGCCAGGTGTGATAGCGTTGATCTCATGCACGGAGGACGGAGCAACGTCTTCTCCGCAGTCTGAAGCAAGTGATAACGATAGCGGCAGCGCAACAATATTGATCCGTCTTTCATCCGAAGCTCCCGAAAGAGCTATTTGCCATCTACAATGGCGAGATTGATATATTGTACTTGGTACCTGAGATGACATCGGAGGTGATAAAGGACTTGGCTTCAGTCAATCGCCTCTATTCTTGGTTCTTTACAGACCACACCTATTTCTGCCTCAGCGCAGCCATATCCAACAGCCTGTAGTCGTAGACTGGTGTTTCCCAGTCATCCTGCAAAAGTCCATACGTCTCCGTGGCATCACTCTTCGGCTTGCGCGGATTGATTGCCCAGTAGGCGAAATCGGCGTCACACTTTCTCAAATACTTCATGAGATTCTTCCAGTAATGGTAGTCTCGTCTTGACGGGGAATTGGGAGCCCCGATCTCACCCACCCAGACAGGAGCGGTATCTGTCTCACGGAGGTACTCCCAGTTCTTGTCCATGTCTTCGGCGAAGGACTTGTACGTGCGGTACCAGTAAGGCACCAAGGATCCCCAACCTGACCATCCATACACATGAGATGAGTATACCAACCTGTTCTGCTGCGTCAGGCGAATGGGCCGATCTCGAGCACCCCTGATGTCGTTGGCGGACTGCACGCCCTCCACTATCATCAACCATCTGGGTTCAAGTCGGTGGAGTCGTTCTGCTGCGTGTTCGGCAGCGGATGCCCAGGAGTCCCACAGGAATCTGCCTGCAAACCCACGGACCTCATTACGCAGGTCCACGCCAACCACCAGAGGATTGTCGATATGGGGTTCCATCACGGTTATGAGATCTTGAATCCAGTCTTCCTCGGTCTGCCGGATAGGACATAAAGGTCCAAGGTCACTGTTCGACCATCCCATGTCACACGGATACCCATCACAGCACCATCTTGCCTGCGTGATATGGTTGTTGATGATTACAGCCAGACCTGTCTCGGTCAGGGTGCGGACAACAGCAGCATAGACATCCAGAGCGCGCAACCCAACAAGGTCTTGGTTGGCTGTCAAAAGTTCAGCTTCAACAACGGGATTCTTGCGCACGATCTCGTCGGCATACGGCAGCCGGACGCTGTTGAATCCCAACTCCCGAATGGTACGAGAAATCTTGGTTCGGTTCTGTATGTCCAAGCCACCGGGCACCATGTATATGTCACTGGCTCCGTACCAGTTCACTGAGACGAGCTTGATTCGCTTGCCGTCTCTGTCGACGATATCGCGGCCTCGAGTGCTGAGTGGAGGGCTGAAAAGGCGATCGCGGGGATGAAAAGGGACAGTGACATTGCCTCTGATCAATTCGGCGTCAGGATAAAGCGACAGATTGGCAGGCATACTTCCTCGTCGCCAAAGGATCCGCATCATCAGCCAGACGCCGACCAAAGTGACAAAAACTAGGACCAGTGGCGCTCTGAAAAGTTTCCACAAACTGCGCCTGCGCCCGCCCCCGCTGGCTAGCAGCGTGTAGCTGTGCGCATGATGCATTGGCCAAGTTGACCAGACCATCTCCAACGCCGTCCAAATTGTATCTCAGATCCTCCAAGATAGGGTTCTCGAGCAATTTGCGCCCGGCTGCTGGCTGATGGCACATTTTCCAGGGCCTGTTTGTGAAAGCCAGGCACAACAAGCCGCGTGGTTCCGGCCATTTGTCTGCAATCATTGGCTGCCTGCGCCGGTTCCTCAATATCCGCTGACAGTTGCATTATCAAAAGCAATCTGGGGGATATGCCTATATTTGAATGCGTTGTGCCTTGGATGACTTTCCACCTCTTCTTCTCCTCCCGCAACACAGATCGACACTAGACATCCCAAGATACTGCAAATCCCTGAAATACCCGGTTTCACGTTCGCTTCGCCGGAAAATTGCTTGAGCGCGGAGAGACTGGCCAAAGATGCACGTGGAGGATGATTGGCATTCAGAAATGCGTTGATTGGTGGAACCAAGACTGCACACATGCGAAAGGTTCAGATGACTGGTTAGGTAAGTGTGACGGTAAGCCCACGAGCCTCGTTGTTTGGTATACATGCCGTCAACACATTTTTATCGTCTTCGCTCACCTCCTAGATGCGGATCACCTGAACTCGCCGTTGCTGGCGCTAGCACGATAAGAATTGCCAAATGGGCAAATGGACGAGATGCTCGCAACCAAATGCGAGCTGGCAATGTCTGCTTTGGTGGCCAGGGGTGGTTGACTGCGAGACTGGTCATGCCGCCAGCCAGGATATCCTTTGCAGGAAGGGAAAACAAGAAGAAGCGTGTGACAAGACAGCGAGAAGGGGCCATCAATGGCGCGGAGTGGTAGAAAGCTGGGAGAAAGTGAAAATGAGTGCACACCAGCGGATCGGGGCTTGAAATGTGCCATGACTTCTCCTGGCTCTAACACTCTGCCCAGGAGTCTGTCTTCAGCTTAATTCTTAAGAGCTGCATCGGCCACTACCTCGTCGTCACCTGCTTCACCCTCTCTCCTCCCACTGTCCCCTCCCTCCTCCCTGCAGATCGTGTGAGACCGACTGCTGCAGACCAACTCCAAAAACTGCGAGCATGGGCTTTGTCAGGTGGTCAATTCGCTGCATTCCTGGCTTGTCAGTCTTTGGCCTCCTAGTCCTGCTCGAGTCCGCCCTGAAGATTGTCGAGACAGAATGGCTTACCTTCTTCTACCCTCCGTTTCTCAAACATATCGCGAGTCCTGTCATTGCCCAGACTCTCTTCATCTCGTACTCGGTCCTTCTGCACATCCTTGCCCTCCTGTTCCCTCTACGACTCTGTGCCTCCGCATACGCCGCGACACGGGCAATCAAAGCCACCCACCTACGGTCGAAGATCACTCTCAGCGACGCTGCTCACCGCAATGGTCTTCGGGACGAATACCAGGGACTTGAATCCCAGCACGATACAGCGAAGCGACCAGGGGTCGTAACGATGGCGGTAGTCTTGCCCAGCTACAAAGAGGATATTGAGATACTTGAGACCTCACTGAGGGTTCTCGCCAGTCACACTCTGGCCAAATCTTCATATGACGTTGGAGAGAATCTCGCACGATTTGGGCAGACAAACGACTGACCGGGACACAGATCTTCTTGGCCATGGAGGAGCGAGATCCAAACGGCGTCAACGTGGCTCGAAATTTGATCCAACTATTCACGGGAAAGTTTCGAGAGATGCAATACACTGTTCACCCGGCGGGTCTGCCTGGCGAAGCCCCGGGGAAGAGCAGTAATGTCAGCTGGGCAGCAAGGCAGATAGAAGCAAAATACCTGGACAACCCTGACTGGTCAAGCGTGCTAGTAACAGTTATGGACAGTCAGTGATTCAGAGACGAAGAAAAGATGCAACAGAACCATACTGACACGCCGCTAGGTGATACTCACCTCCTCGGTCAATATTTTGAGACAGTCCTCATCCACCACCTCCGCAACCGCAAAGACCAAGGATTGACCGATATGACACTGTACATGCCGCCCATTATTTTTGATCGCAATGCGCACCTGGTGCCCCAGATGGTGCGCATCGCCGACCTCATGTGGTCCGGGGCCGGGCTCTCTTGTTTCACCAGCAAACCCACCAGATCGACCGTTGCAATCCCAACCGCAGTTTATACCCTCCCACTTCCTCTTGTTTGCCTGGCAGGTGGGTGGGACACTGGGTCAGAAGCCATTGGTGAAGACATGCACATGATGTTGAAGTGCTATTTTGCCACACACGGCCGCTTGCAAATCAGGCCAATTCCGAGTCCGGCGAGCCAGTGTAATGTCACAACGGGAAGAGCTGGGATCCGCGGCTGGCTGGCAAACCATTCAGCTCGATACGCGCAAGGTCTTCGGCATATGTGGGGGTGTCTCGACACCGGATATGCTGTTCGCCAGTGGTGCAAGATTGGTCCGGAGTTTGTCACTCACAACCCATCTTCTCCTTCAAGCAAAGGGAGCTCATCAGGTTCTGAGCGACCAAACCGGCCTCGTCACGTCGAGATATGCCTGAAACTCAGCCAGCATGCCCTCCATGGCCCCAGTCTTCGAAGATTCACCTGGCGAAATCTGATCCTTTTCAGTCGACTTTTTGAAGCGCACTTCTTACCGATCCATCTGTTCCTTGTTCTGCTTGCCTCGGCCATATACTCTGCGCTCCCATATCCGATCACCTCTTGTCGACTTTTGACGGCTGTAATGGATCTCACCTCAGTCCTGCGCGGTATCAGTTTCGCATTGATGACGATCTACTTCGTTATCTTCTATGAAGGATATCACCAAGCTTGCATTGAGGCGAGGGAAAAGGAGATGAAGAAAGCTGGCCTGTATGAGGAGTTGGCTGATGAGTTTTCTTACCGCAAAAGATTCTCACTCATCACCTTGTGCGACTACGTGCTGTTCCCTATCGCCGGCACAGCATTCGGAAGCGTGCCTCTTCTTCAGGCAATAGCATCGCACTTCTGGACAGAGAAGCTTGTTTACCTTGTGAGTGCAAAGCCGGTCAAGACGGTCACCAAGAGTTCTGTTAGCGTCACGGTTATTGAGCGGGAGGCGGATGTCATGGATGTCTGAATATGAAGTTCGGGGTGGAGAGTGTGGAATTTGATAAACATACCGCTGAGCGCAGCACGGCACATGCAAGCCCCTCGGCATTACGGTGTGAATAGATCTGACGGAGTATTAGAGGCCTAGGTAGCGACGGTGTTAAGATAATCATAATATGAATGTTAATGACTGCGGATCATGAGTGACGGGCACAACCGCAACACCAGAGGCACACGGAAGAACCGTCCGTCACCTGTGTCTTTGTTGCCTGTCGAAACTGGACACACGTCTTGGTGAATTTGCACCCAAGCCGCGCCCCTTTCACCCAACCTGGCGCCGTGGATATCACACCTCACCAGAACTGGCAGAACCGATTGGGCACCTGGAGAAACCCGTGTGTGAGTAGTTTCCTAGTTTCTGCTCCTTCCGAGCCCATCATTTGAGCATCAGCAGCTGAGCAGCGTTGTGCCGGAGGCACCGCGTTGCATATGAGGCGAAACGCGTCTCGGGTCATGGCCTAGCAATTGAGAAGACAACCGAGCCCAAACACCCCCTGTTCAAAAAAACCCCGGATCCACCTGCGTCCTGCTCACCACCATTATTTGCTCCATGCAACCGCCTGGCATTCCCGTCCGAGGTTGGGGTTTCCTTTGTCGACTGAGTCGCTCTTCCCTTCTTCAAACGGGGGATTTCCTTCCCTTGGGCTCGCGTGCTAATTAATTTTTTTGATGGAAACCGCAGCCATGTCGACCAACTCTGGAAACAGCGGAGTCAAGAACCTTCGGGCAATGTTCGAGAACAAAGCCGGCGATCAATCCACCTCTCCCCCGAGTCGAGGCCGCTCTCCAAATCCCTCCGAGATATCCAACAACAGTAGACCCGTCAGTAAGGTCCGAGCAAGCTTCGTTGCAGTTGAAAGGCCCAACGAGAACGGAGGCGCGCCCCTGATAGGCCTGAGGAGGGCGAGTGAAGTGAGCAGTATGGGTGAGATTAAAGAGAATGTGATTGAGGACTCGGAGAATGCAGAAAAGTCGCCAGTGCTCGCCGTCACTGCAAAGAAAGAGGATGCCAAACCAGATCCACAAACAGCACCCGGTCCAATTAATGGCACAGTTGAAGGTGGATTGGGTACCATTCTGAAGGGATCTGCTTTTGTAGAGAACACTCCTACAAGACCATCAACGGAAGCAACCCATCTGACTGAGGCAATTTCGTCTGGTCGGATACAGGAGAAAATCCCTCGACCACCGTCAAAACCAGGAAACGAGTCTAATGCGGCAGAAATGGTCAAGAAAATGCAGGCAAAAGATGGTATCGTACCAGGACCACCTCCGGCCACTACCCTCCAGACCACGAAAGATGCGCAGCCAGTCAAGCCGCCACCTACGAGACAACAGATCAACATCAAGCCTATTCCTAAATCACCCACTGTGACAAGGCCTTCCCCTCGCACCCCAACTTCGCCAAAGCTCAATATCAGAGGGGGACCCGCCAAGATCAAGGGTGTGATGGAATCAGCGAAAGAAGCACAAAGAGCTAGAGAAACAGCAAGATTACACGCCGAGAAATCGGAAAAGCCGCAAGCATCAGCACCACCGAAGATAGACACTAGTGCAAAGTCGAGCAAAAAGGATCAGGCACCTGTGACTCCTAAAGCTATCAGATCACCCACTACAGTCAAAACAAAAGCCCCTACCGTACCTGTTAAACTCCCCACTGCGGCAACCGCCACTACAGCTTCAACAGCTGCGAAGCATGATGCACAGCACTCGCCAACCGAGACCGAACGCAAGCCAGTGGCAAAGAAACCGCCTACATCGTCG